ATCCTTTTATAAGATAAGGTGAACTATGTGTACTCCCTCTGGATTCCTTATTACCACCGGGTCTTTTTCCACTCGAAAGTGGGAACAGGTGGGAGCTGGGGGGGGACCATGGTGGCTTTGCCCCCGCCCAGTGGGGTTTCAACTGCAAAAACTTAAGAGCCATTTGTTCAAAGCAGGTGGGGCTAGGGGTGGGATTTTTGTGAGTTCCTGTTTGGTGAAAATGCAGGTTTTTGGTGAGAGGCCCCATAGATATTTTAAGAACTCACATTGGTGAGATGGCTGGTGACCTCCTACGTTATGGCCTCATTGCACTGGGAGCCCCTCTAGCCCATTGGGCCCTGGTGTGTGGGGCAGCATGCGGTGGCCAGGACGGGACCCTCACCTCCTCGGGACCCTCACCTCCTGGCTCGGGGGCTGAGCTAACCCCGAGAGCCCGGCAGCCCTGATGCAGGAAAGGGCTCCAAAGCAGGGCAAGTGCAGGCAAAGCCCTGGCCCCAGTGGAGCGCTAGTGCAGAACATTATTAGCTCGTTTCTACTCTGCCCTCCCCAGTTCCTCCCTGGGGGTGGGTCTCCTGGGCCCAGAGGTAAAATGCTGACAATTGATGGAACAGACGCAGTCACACCAGCAAGGAAGTGCTAGGCTGTGCCGGAGGCGAAGGGTGGGTGAGGTGCAAACCTGGCCCCAAGGAGGCCTCTGCGATGCCCCCTGCCCGGGCCCAGCCCCTCCCGCTCAGATGATGGTCAGAGCGCCAGGGACTCCCTAGGTTGGCAGTCTGGCCCTACTGTTTACTAGCTTCTTGACCCTGGACGATTTACTTAACCTGAGTCCTTGCACCAAAAATGCAGATTGTTGGGAGGGTTAACTGAGTTAATGCATGTAAAGTACGCAGCATGGACTGCAGCCCATGGTAAGTGCTTAATAAGTGTTAGATATTATTATTGTTATTGTATTACTAGGTTACATCTGTCGGAGCCTGCCAGCATGGGTGGGAGAGTACACGCGAGGGCCACTGAGTGCAGCCGTGCAGGTTGTGCACTCGGCACCTGAGCACACTATTCCACTATTCTGGAATAGTGTGGTACACACGACCTGTGGGGCTGTACACTGGCCCTAAATGCCCTGGGCACGCCTGCTTCAATTTCCAAGAGGTACTGCTTGAAGCTGGTCCATTTGGAGCCGGGTCTCAATGAAAATAAAGGAGGTAGTAGGACTTTTGAGCAGAGCTACGAAAACTTGGAAGAGGTATGGCCCAGTCCTTGAAAAGGTTACAGGACCGTAGGAGCAACAGCTAGGATCTGGGCCAAGTCACTCCGCTCTGGGTCAAAGTTTTCCCCATCTGTGCAGTGGGGGTGGGGTGGGGGGTGGGGGGTCTAGTTTTGGGATGGCAAGTAGGCTTTCTCCCTGTATGCCAACTCTGACTGGTGGTGGCTGAGGCTTTGTAAAGTGAGCACCTCAGCGGCCACTCTGGGCGGGGTGGGGACGTCTGCATGAGGCCAGGGAGCGGGGAACAGCGGCACATGTGCTAGGGCCCCTTGCCCGCTGCAGACTAGCCCAGCGCTTCTCAATGTTGGCCACACCCCAGGGTCACCAGAGAAGGTTTAATGACGCCCTGATTCGGGGATACGGCCTGGTACTGCTAAGTGTTTTCAAAAGCTCTGCAGGTGATTCCAACGTGTGGCCGGGTTGAGAGCTGCTGGGGTCCCTAAGGCTCCTGGGGCCGAGGCCTAGGCTTTGCATGGGGGGGGGAGGGGGGAATCTCATGGGACTCACACTGGCTTTTTCAGGGTGGCCCTGTGGCTTCCTTGATTTCCTTCTTAAGCTCCTCTCTGTCCCGAGGGAAGGTGGGATGTTGGCACGGTGCAGAGGCCCAGTGAGGTCTGCAGGAAGTAACATGCCCCAAACTCACAGGCGCACTTTCCGGGCCTTTGGAAGGAGTGCCGGGGGTAGAAGGAAGCGGATGAAAGCTGACTGGGGCCGCAGAGCTTGGAGAACACAGGGCCAGGGCGCCAGGCTTGGAGGTGGTGCATTAGGACCACAGGCAGCCCTGGATGTGACGGCTCCTCCCACTTACAGTCAGGGCGGCCAAGAAGCGAGGTTTCTGGAGGCCACCTGGCCTCAGCCCCACCGAGGGCCCAGAATTCAGCCAGCTTTCCTCAGCCCCTCCAGACCCAGCCCTGGAATCCAAGGAGCAGGTCATGCAGGGGCTTTGCCTCCCACCCGGAGCAAGATAGAAGCAATCAAATAACATAGAATTCAATAATATTTTAAAATAAGCTTTATTTAGATTTTTTTTTATATTTTATATTTGCATCCATGCCTTCGAGAAATCTTTCCCATGGGAAAAGTTATTTTCATCTAATTTACCCATAACTCATTCGCTATTTGACGTAGTTCTCTTAAATAAATCATCCTTAGTAACTCTTAGATTTATCTCCTAATTTACAAAAACTGAAATGAAAAGGAACTACTAAATCATTACCAGGAGTGGTTGTAATTTTCTCGTAAGCAAAGGGCAAACCATAAAAATCAACCAAAAGAAAAAGGGAAAAAAAACTCTTGGGGGAGAAAAATATTTTCTAAAATCTCTCTCCGTAGAGGAAGATGCCAGCTTTTCCTCACCGCCAGGCTTGGTTAAACGGCTTAGGGCTTAGCCAAAGGAGGCCAGAAAGATCCTTATTAGGCAGGGCCCTTTGCCTGCTCCTGCCCAACCGCCCCACCAAGTCAGAAGGAAAGGGAGCAGCCTACTGGTGGTTTTTTTTTTTTTTGTTGTTGTTGTTGGTTTGTTTGTTTGTTTGTTTTAGAGACTTGGGACAAAATATCCTATGCTTCTAATAGAGACTCTCCAGCACTCTCCAATCTCCTTTCTTTGTAAGAGCTGAAAATGTTACTGCTAGCAGAAAGCGCAACTACTGTTGTGCAGAGGGTGGGTGAACTGAGCTGTGTTAGTAGTTAAGGTGGAGCAGGGGACGAGTGACAGGTCAAAAGAAAAGGGGAAGCTAGTTTTAGGCCTCAGGAGGCCCTGGCTTAGCTCACGTGTTCTCCATCACCCGGCGTTACATGCACATGGTTCCTTTGCTGGTGAAGCCTCATTGAGGCCAACACTGCTCCCCAAATAGGCAGATAGATGTTCCTGCCAGCCCTTCTCTCCTGGGGTGAGCGGGCTCAGGCTGCTGTGACAAAGGGGAGGACAGGGCCCGAGGGATCCCGAGAGATTCTGTTAAGTGTGGAACCAACCAGAATGGGGAGGGCAGAGAGGCTCTGGTGCTGGTCCCTGTGTCCCTCGCCGCCCTCCCCCTGAGACAGGCACCTCCCCCAACGGCCCCTGCCTGGCCCACGTGCAGAATTAACCAAGGAGGAGAAAGACACAGCTGCAGGGAAGAACCCATGCGCCTCGAGGACCCTTGTGGCACCGACTCAGGTCGAGTCCCCGTGGTCATGTGACTGGCTGCCTCACTCTGCACTCAACCTCTCTCAAAACACAGACCCCAGAGAAGGTGGCCGTGACAGTAGGCCCTCCGCTCACTGGGGTCAGCGTTCCTCATTCCAGATAAATAAATAGATCTACAAAGGCTTGGAAGGGAGCTATTGGGGGAAGGTGGGGGAGAGAAAGGTGGAGTGCACTTCCATGCGAGGGGCAGGAGAAGCCAGGCGAGGGAGAACAAAGAACGGGGGAGAAAAAGCAAGCTTTGAAATCCAACGGTCCCTGGGTTCTGGCCACCCTAGAGTCTACCTTGCACAGTTTGGCAGCAGCATGAGAACAGAACAGACAAGTCCACACAGAAACACCCGCCTCCCGCCCACCCCGTGGAAAAATATACATTCCATTATTTACGTAATAATTTAGATAGAATAAGTCTTCTGCGTTTGTGCAAATAAATTAAACGGAACAGTTTTTTTTCTTTTTTCTTTTTTCTTTTTTTTTTCCATAAAGAAAGAAACGGCAACGCAATTTAAAAACTGGCAGGCCGTGAAAAAGAGCCCGGCGGACCCTGGCAGCCCGAGCCAGGCGGCCCGCACCCTGACCACGTGGGCGGCCTGCGCTCGCTCGCTCGCTCGCTCGCTCGAGGGCCTCGGGCCGGGGCCTGGGGGGTCAGGGGGCGGGTCAGGGCCCGCGCTCACACCGGGGGAGGGGTGGGGGGAGACATCGAAAACAGACCACATCCTTGGGCAGACGGGCTCCAGAAGTAGCAGTTCGGACAAGGGACATTTACAAGCACGGAGTGCACAACAGTTTTGTTATTTACAAATACACAGCAGTCCTTCAAGTGTTCAAGTTTCATAAAAAGGAGGATGGGGAGGGGGGGAGGATGGGAAGGGGGAGGGGAGGGGGAGGATGGAGAGGGGAGGGAGGGGGATGGGGAGGGGAGGGGAGGGGGAGGATGGGGAGGGGAGGGAGGGGGATGGGGAGGATAAGGAGGGGAGGCGGGAGGATGAGGAGGATGAGGAGGGGAGGCGGGAGGATGGGGAGGATGGGGAGGGGAGGCGGGAGGATGGGGAGGATGGGGAGGGGAGGCGGGAGGATGGGGAGGATGGGGAGGGGAGGCAGGAGGATGGGGAGGATGAGGAGGGGAGGCGGGAGGATGGGGAGGATGGGGAGGGGAGGCAGGAGGATGGGGAGGATGGGGGGGAAGAAAACAAAACAACCCAACGAACCGAACAAAAAGAAAAGAAAAAAAAAACACGTAGAAGAAACAAAAACAAACAAACCCAGGTTAACAACACGACTGCATCGCTCCGAGGACGACAGTTGACAGAGTCACACGCGGTCGAGTATGTACAGCAATTACAGGGGCGGCGCCGCGGGAGGGGGCGGGGCCCGCGCTCGGGGGGCGTGGCCCGCGCTCGGCCCCGCCCCGCCCCCAGCGTCAGCCCGCGCCCGCCCCGCCCCCCCCGCCCCCCCCCCCGCCCGCACGTCCACACGCACAGACGCGCCTGCGCGGCAGCCAGGGGCGGCATCACCAGTCCGCGTCCTCCTCTATGTAATAATCGGGGGCGGTACCATCAAAGAGGCCGGGGTCGAGGGACTTCCGCTGCTTCCCTCGGGCGAAGACGCGCGAGATGGAGCCGAATCCCATCTTCTCTTTCTTCTTTTTCCGTTTTTGGTCTTCAAGATCCTCTAGTGACTGAGGAGCCGGCCGCGCGGGGTGCGGGGGGGGAGAGCGAGAACAAAGCCACCTGAGCTGGGGCGGGCCGAGGGCGGGAGGAGGGTCAGGGGCGGGGCCGAGCGGGGGGGGGGCGGAGGGGTCAGGAGGCGGGGCGGAGCGTCAGGGGGCGGGGCCGAGCGGGGGGGGCGGGGCGGAGGGGGTGGGACGCCGCGGTGTGCCCCCGCCCGCGCTCGCGGAGCCCCCGGGGCGGTGGTGGGCCGTGTGCGGGCCGCGGGGGGACCACCGGGCCGGGCCGGGCCTCTACCCCGCAGTCCCCGCCAGCCGCCGCCGCCGGAGCTGCCACTGTCCCCTACGTTGAGCCTGCCCACAGCCTGGGGGCGCCCCCGGGCACCTGACTCTGGCTGGCACCCTGGGCAGGGGCACAAGGTTCCTGTGGGAAAGGCCCCGTGGGGACAAAGGGGGCCCGGGGGAGCCCAGAAAACGAGGAAGGAGAAACCTGAGCCTCGTGCCGCCCAGAGCAAGGCCCCGGGACCTCAGGGTCCTGGACGAGAAGCAGGCCTGGCCATGGTAGGGCGGGGAGGCTGGGGCTTGGGTTCTAGTCCTCGCTATGTCAGGCTGTGGACTCCTGCCCACCCCACCCCCCCCAGCCATCAAGCCCCCCCCCAGGCTCCCTGAGCCCAGTTACTCATCTGTGATGTGGAGACAACAGTGACCACGGGGACAGCCTCCTGCCTGGGGGCCTACGGGGCCGGAGGGTGGGGTCCACAGAAGGGCTTTACGAACCCAAAGACCCTGGGTGATGTTATCCACCAAAAAGGTGGAAGTGAGACTAAAGATTCCCCAGACACATCAGAATGACCCGAATTCCGGGCCCCGCCCCACCCCACCCCTGGCGGATCAGAGTCAGGGCTAAAGGCCCAGGAACCTGCATTTGCAAAGTTGTTCCTGGTGGACGCTGGTGCAGATGAGCAGCGCGGGGACCAGCCTCTGGGAACCCCAGGACTAAACAGCTGACCTCAGAGACCCCTTCTGACTCCATTCCTATTGCCCCCCCCCCCGTGGCCCCCTCCTTACTGATGGCGGGGTCCTGAAATGTTAAAAATGAATAAGGAACAGTTTCCTGCAGCCGGGGGCCTAGAGTCATCGGCCTTTGGCTACCAGGAGAAGATCCTCGCCGGGGCAGGAGGATGGAAGGTGCCCTTAACGGGTCCACGGACTGGAAGGAGGGCAGGGGGGTGCAAACCAGGGACTGAGCCTGGTCCAAGCCCCAAACCATGGCTGACAGGCAGGGGCTGAACTCCTCTCCTGCCTTAGGTGTCCCCGGTATGGAAGTGGGGTGCTGAGGGCCCAGGGGAACAAAGGGCAGGGCCGGGAGGGGGGGTCATGGTCAAGATGGGGTGGAGGGAAGGCCCAAGTGGCCAGGGGAGGTGCACCTACCTGTACAATGGGGTTGTGCAGGTTCTTCTGTACTGGGCCGGGACTGTCGCCCTGTAGCCAAAAAAGAGGGAGAAAATGAAACAGCAGGGACGCACAACACGTGGGAGCAGAGGTGGCCCAGGGAGAGTGGGGTCTTCCGTGGAAGGAAGCCGTCTCTTGGGGACCGCCCTGCCTCTGTACTGGGGAACCCACCCTCACCCCTGAAGCAAACATCCCCAAATGGCTCAACAGTGGCAGATGGGCTTCTAGGTGCTGCCTGGACCAGGGGTCCTGGGGTGCTCTCCTGTCTGCTCAGGCCTCTTGACCCCCAACACTCTCTGACCAGCAAATCAGCCCCTTGAAGGCTTCTAAGTTCCTGTCCTAATTGGTCCAAGTTGGAACTGGAGATTGGTTATACCTGGTGTTGTTCAGAAAGATGCAATTTTAAAGGAAAAAAAAAACACAAAAATAAAGAATTTCAGGACAGGAAGGCTCAGGAGACACTAGGTAGCTTCTAATTTCCCCCCAAATAGTTCACTGCATCTCTTTTGTGGGGGGGCAGCAGGACTCATCAGCCTGATTTACAGACACAGAGAGGCTCGGGACCAGCACCACGGAACCAAGCGTGGAGCTGTAACTCGTTTGGGGCCGTTTCTTCCCGGCCCAGTGCTCCTTTCAGGGGGCACGTGAAGGTGGGTGTGCAAAAGCCTTCACTACTACGTCCGTCCCAGAATCCGGCTGCCCTGCCTCGGGGGACACGCAGATCACTGGGATCACGAGTCATTACTAGGGAGGCCCCTGATGGTTGTTTCCAGAATTGCAGGCAAAAAAGCAATAAAGAAACCGTAGGTCACTTGGCCAGAGTCCATCAATCCCTCCACCTTCCCTGCACTCAGTCCCGACCTCGGCTCTAAATTAGCGGCCAGAGAAGAAGGAGAGGTCCTTCATCCAGGCTGGGCTGTTTTCGCGGGTGCCAGGTCACAGGCCTGAGAACAGTTACCTGGTGCTTTTTCCAGGCTCTTCTTGGCTTACCTGCGTGCACAGCTGTTGAAATGGGGGATGAAGGTGGCTGAGGGAGGGCGGGGATGGAACAGAGGGTACTTTAGGCTTTAGTCCCATCCCAAGGTTTGCAATCGGAACCCATCTGGCAGGCAGCTCAGGGGGGTCTACCCTGGGAATAGGGCCATCTTCGCCCAATTCATGGGGCAGAGAGTGAGGCCGGTGCCCACCGAAATGCCCACATGCAGACAGCTGGCTTATGAAGGCACCCGTGTCCTGGCGGCAGGGCCGTGCCTACGTGAGGTGATCCTGGAAATAGGTATGCTGGACCTGCCGCTGCTCAGCCAGGATGTGCCGAGGCCAAGTTGGGCAAGAGGCGAGGTCAAATGCACTGCAAGAGGCCTTTAGAGAGCCCCTTCTGCAGAATTTTCCAGCAGTATTCTGGCTCCCGGAGCCACCTTGGGCCCACCAGGAAACTCAAAATATAGCCTCTGGGGAAGTGGCTACTCTAGGTCTCTAACCCGTGCTCTCTACGAGCGAGGGCGCTGTCGGCCATAGGGACAGCTCAACAGTGGGCCCTCGGGGCAAAGGGCAGCTGCCAGAGGCCCCCTTCCTTGCCCTGGCTCTGTCATTCAACACAGCCTTTGTCACGGGGTTCCGTCCCGAGAACTGGTGACAGACAAACTGCTTTAAGGAAGTTGAAACAGAACCCCAGGCTTGAGCGTCGGGATTCCGGCCTTGAGCAGCCTTCTCTGCATCCTGACGGGGCGGCGTGGGGGCGAGGCCCCGGGCCTGCCATCCCTGATGCCCTCGTCACCAGGCGAAGGCAACTAATTTTAAGTTCGGTCTTTGCTATTTTTATCAGTAGTCTTTAGCTACTTTTCCACTGTTCTTTTGACAGGAAAAAAGTTTCCATTAGGATTGTTCGTATGTAGAAAAGTTACTGATTTTTTTTTTTACATATATACATTAATTTACAACCAGTACCATTCACGTACGTGTTCATCATTGGTTCTAATAGTTTTACACCTTATCCTCTTGAGCTTCCAGGTAGGTGATCCTATCACGGGCACGTCGTAGTTTGTCCTTCTTTCCCACCCTATTCACCTTATTATCAATCACGCTGGTTCATGAAACATTAGCTGAGCTTTTGAGAAAGCTTCCTCGTGCACTGGGAGGCCCGACCCCGTGGTGTGTCTGTCCTCACGGCAGGGGAACCCTCCGTATTTCCTGTCCTCGGATGCTTGACCCACCTTCGTCCCCTCGCTCCGCCCGCCAGTCACCAAGCGTCAGGGGCCTAGGGACCCGCAGTCTTGGTAGCTGGTGCCCAGCATGCCATCAAAAAGTGTTTGATTAAATAAGCGAAGCAAAAAAGCCCAGAACAAATTCACGGGACGCCTGTCCAGAAGCAATACATGCCCCCCAACTCCTGGAAATTAAAACATCTGGCTCATTCCTGGAAGAAGGACTGAGAACTCGCTCCAGAGGGGAATGAAGTACTGGTTAGGCCCGAGCTCTGGAAGGTCACATCTGGGAGGAGAGGCCCACGGTCCCAGACACAGCCCACCCGAGGCAGTCCCGGGCTGCGCAGACCCTGAGCCGACCCAGGCCTGCCTTCCTCGGGGGTTTTCTTGCCCTCCCGGACACAAGGAGCAAACAGGCCTCATTTCTTTCTCTCCCCACATCCATCTCTTCTTGCAAAAGGAAAGAACAGAACAGGAATTGCCTCCGCCAGAGTGCTCCCTGGGTGGACGAGAGGAAACAGCGGGTGCGTCTTCGCCCCCCCGCCCCCCAGCCCTGCGGTCTCCAGGCAGGGCCCCTGGCCCGGGCCCTGCTGCTGCTGGCCTTACGTTGCAGAGGGAGTGTGTCCGGTGCCGAGGGGAGTTGATGTCGCTTGGCGTGGACGACCGGTCGCCTTCGGCGGCAGATGCGTCGGAGATGACGGAGGGCTGCCGGGAGTGGCAGGGGCTCACCCTGACCGCTGGAAGGCAGGGACAGCTGGTCAGTGAGGGGTGGACAGTGTCCTCGCCGGTGCTGCCCTGCAGGGGTGCACCCCGCGCCCCCGTGATACAGAGGAGGAGGCGGAGAGGAAGGGCTGCCTGCTCTCTGCCCCTCCGTCAACAGGCCCACACGTCCCCAGACAGCAGCTGCTGGGGAGAAGCCCCGGGGCCTCTGGATCCAGTCAGGGCCTCCCCTAACCACACGGAAGGAGAAGAGGCAGGAGCTTCCTGGGTGACTGGCCTCTCAATGCTCCCACCACCTGGACGTTCCCTGGGCCTCGCACAATCCCAACGGCTGGTCAACACCAGCTTCCCGAGCGAGGAGCTCAGAGGCCGCCCCCAGGTCCCCACCTTCTCCCACACCCCACACCCCATCATCACCAGTGCAGCCCTCCAGTCTGTCCCCTTGTCTCCAACCCCAAACACAGTTCCCAAGTCCATGTACTTCTCTCTAACCCCAAACACACCCCCCGAGGTCATCCACTTCTCTTCAACCCCGAACGCCCCCCCCCCAGGGTTTGTCTACTTCTCTCCAACCCCAAACACACACCCCCGAGTCCGTCCACTTCTCTCCAACCCCAAACACACCTCACAGGAGGTACAGGAAAGGAGCAGGTGGGCTGCAGATGTGCAGAGGGGTTTGGGGCTGGTAGCATGGCCAGAGGGTGCAGACGTTGCCCAGAGGCTGCACCCCTGCCCGAGAGAACACGTATGACACGTGTGGCCCTCCCTCGCACCCCGTGACTGTGTGGAGCTGCGGATCAAGGAGCTCTGTGCCCCCTGCCACGGGGTCCCACGAGACCCAGGCTGGAGGGTCAGTGTATCGCTCCTTAGACCCATCACGGGTCCAGGGGCTGGCTGTGCGACCCAGGATGGCCGAGCAGATCCTTCTTTGGGATTTAGTATCAACACAGGGAAAGAGAGAGTTTTTCTTTCTCCTGACTTTGGCCCTTCAAGCCTGAGCTTGCGGGAGACGGTTTTGCTGCTTCGTGGAAAGAGACGGCGCGGAGACGAGGCCATACGGAGGCAGGCAGAGCCGAGGCCGCGGTGACGCACCTGGACACCGACTGGGCCTGGAGACCAGCCCCGCCTGGGTCCATCCCTCGGACTCTGCGTCCCACCGTCCACGCCCTGCAGGCAGCCACGGTGTGGAGAGGGCTGCGGCCCGCGCCGGGGAGGTCGGCGGCCCCCGAGAGTCCCCAGAGCCGCAGCAGCGGCAGGCCTCACCTTGCCGGTCCGCAGGGTGGGGGGGGTGTGAGTGGTAGAGAGTCTGCTGGCTCTGCCGGATGGCCGCGGTCAGGGGGAGGTCCGCCTGCACCACCCACTCCTGGTTGCCGTTCAGCACCGTCTCGCCCGGCATGGCCAGAGAATGCCGCTTGGGGACGTCCTTGGTCAGCGTAGCTAAGGACTGCTTGGCCTGGGGACAGAAAGAGACGATGTGATCGAGAGGGGACCTCTTGGCCCGTTGCTCGGCTAAGACGCACGGTGGTGAGGAAGCCGCGGGCCGACCTTGGTAGCAGGCCACCTCCAGCTGCGCATCGAGTGCCCCTCAGGGTCAGCCACCTGCCCTGCGGGCTCAGCGGGGGTTACCCCTTAGCTCCCGCTAACAGAAGGGCCGGGGTTGGGAGAGAAAGGGGGTCCGAGGACACTTATCACCCATCCTTTCGGGCTCTCCAAGGAACTGCTGGGATTTGAGTGAGAGTGGGGGACAAGTCACCGCCTTCCTGAGCCTCGGCCTCCCCACCTGCAAAAGGGAAACCCCAGAGCAAGCAATGCTGGGGGCTCGTCTAGCCTGGACGCCCCGCGTCTATGAGCTCACTTCCCTTCCGGGGCAGGAGGCCGAGCCGAAGGTGCCTGCCCATCTCCCAAGCAGGGAGTAATCTCTCCGGTTTAGAAAACGATCATGTGCTCAGTGCGACAGCCCTGGGTTTCGAGGAGGGACTGGGAGATTCTCTGTGCTTGACAGAGAAGGAGCCAGAAGCCCAGAAGCCACAACGTTCAAGTCGGGTCGCGAGCCGGGGAGTCCGGCCACGCACCCGTGGTCTCGACAGCACCCACGCTCCTCCGGGCAATGGCATAACCACAGGTAACGCAGACTCCTGAGTCCACGGAGCAGAGGATGGGCTGTGCCGGTCACCGCCGGTCACTGCGGAATCCGCAGGCACTGGCTGGCAGCTGGGCCCGTGCACGATCAGTAAAAATCCTCAGAAGTAGCGGAAGCAGGCTACGTCCGGGCTGCTGGCTCAGGGAATCTGTCGCCCTAGCCTGAGAGCATGGGACGGTCCTGCGGAGGCGGGCGGGAGCGCTGTGACCCAGGGCACTGCAGGCTTGCGGCCACACGGCGACGTGGCCACACGCGCCCCGACCGCACACATCTGCTTGCCCTCCAGGGCACGGGCACCTGGCCTCTCGGCCCCCATTCGGGCACCGCTCCGGGCACCAAGCTGCCCTAGTCCCTTGGCTTCCTCCCGCCCGATCCATCCCGGCTCCTGGAAGGCACACTCGGGGCTGGGAAGCGAACCCCAGCTCAGTCTGCCCGCGTGATTAACCTGCAGCGTCGCCCCCCCCGCAAACAGCCCCAGGCAGGTGCGCAGGAAGCACAGGGAAACCCGAGGCAGCGTCGCCTGTGTCCCCACCTGGCTTTCTTCTCCCGGTGGGGCCTCAGCTCTGTGTGGGCCTGGGAGAGGCGCCTCCTAAACTCAGCGGGCAGCTTGGGACCATTGTACCTGACATCTGCGGGGGCTGAGGGGAGGGGGCGGGTCCCCAATGGTTAGTCCTGCGGGACAGGGCGCGTGGTGGTCAGTCCTGTGGGACAGGGTGGTGGTCAGTCCTGTGGGATGGGGCGCGTGTGGTCAGTCCTGCGGGGTGGGGTTAGTGGTGGTCAGTGCTGCAGGACAGAGTGGTGGTGGTCAGTCCTGCGGGATGGGGTGGTGGTCAGTCCTACGGGCAGGGTGGTGGTGGTCAGTCCTACAGGGCAGGGTGGTGGTGGTCAGTCCTGCAGGACAGGGTGGTGGTGGTCAGTCCTGTGGGATGGGGCAGGTGGTGGTCAGTCCTGCAGGACAGGTGGTGGTGGTCAGTCCTATGGGGTGGGACGGGGCGGATGTTGGTGCCTCCGAGTTCTGAAGCACAGGGACCCCTACATGGTCTGCTCACAACACAGCCAACAGGCAGACGACAGAAGAGGCCCAGGAGCTGAACGGAACACAGGCGTGTGTGTGCACGCAGGGGGCTGCGGGGATCAGCTCCCCGCGGCCGTCCACACAGCGTTCCCTGGGCTGACCTCTTGCACTGAACGCAACTTAGTGCTGGGACTCCCTCCTCCCTCTGAGCCTCTACCGCCTCCTCAACACTCTGCGCCTGGAGTTTCAAGCTACTGATGTCGTCGGCACATTGGCTCAAACACCCTCCGGCGACAGGAGTCAGGACCGGGTTCAAACTCCGTCCTAGGATTTAACTTGCTGTGTGACCCTGAGCGAGGCCTCACCAGTCGGACGGAGAACGGGGAGGGATCACTTCCATGTAAGGAGCACCCCCTGCAGTCGTGTGATGAAGCGGCCCAGCAACGTGCTTTGGAGTTTGGGCTCGGATATCGGCCTGTGCCCGTCCTGGCGGGGGCTCTGGCGTGAGGCCCCTCACCCCTCCGCACCCTCCTCTGTCTGACGGGGGTCACACGGTTGCTCCGGAGAGCACGGGGCTGTGGGAAACACGCTCAGTAAGGGTCAGTGCCTGTTACCATAAGCGTCGACGTCACAAGCAGGAGCTGGACGGGCCAAGCCCCACGAAGGCCCAGGATGCCAGTCTCACGACTGTGTGGTCCCTAAGTCACAGCTGGGGGTTGTGGATCCTTTCTGTCCTTGCTAAGACGGGGTGACAAGACCCGGGAGGTGGGCAGCACCCTGCCCTGGGCCTCCCTGCGGGTCGGGCTGATGAAGGCCCCGGGTGGCTGGAGGGCCAGCTGGGGGCACACGGAGTAGTCTGTGTGACGAGCGAGCCCGGGCGCTGGGAGCGCGGCTCAGCGGAATCCTTCACTGTCGGGATTCCCGCCTGTCCTGGGACGTCTCTGCCGGCCAAAGGCCCAGAGGAGCCTGGTGCAGAACCTCCAGGGAAACGAGCAGGTCGGTCCGCTGCTCCACGACGGCACCGTCCAGGGCCAGGAGGTGTGCTCGGCAGAAGCAGCGCCAGCCCAGAGCCCGGCCGTCCCCGTCATCCCCTCCTGCGTGACCCTGCCTGTCACCAGCCTCCCTACGCCTGACTCTCGCCCGGGCCTGTGGCGACCCCCAGTTTTACAGACAAGGAAACAGAGGCCTGGGCAGGTTAAAAGTGATCTGAGGTTGCTTGGTGACTGGCGAGTGGAAGGGACACATCATCGTGGTGGCCCCGAGGAAGGATGGGGCTAGGGCAGGATGCCCGTCAACATCTGTGTGCACCTGCCCTGACGCACCGTCGCCTCCCCCCACCGTCGCCCTGGGAGGAGAGTGTTACAGACCTGACTTCATACAAGTGGGGCCTGAGGTTCAGAGAGGCTGAGTGCCCGTCAGAGGTCACACAGCCCGGGGAGGGCAGGACCCAACGGGGACTCCGTTAGCACTGAAGGGCCGGGGCGCAGACCGATGCTGACACGGGGCTGCCCCTGCTCCACGCTAGAGGAACATTTACAGAAGAGGGGTTCTCAGCTGGGGCGGGAGCTGCCCCCAACCTCCCGTTCTGGAGCACTGGGAAACGTCCAGAGATTTGGGTCTTCCCGGCTGGGAGGGGTGACTGGCACCTCGGGGATGGAAGCTGGGGAAGCGGCTGGACGGCCCCGCCACAAAGGCTTCTGTGGCCCCAAGTGTCAGCAGGGCCGAGGGTGAGAAGCCTCGTTGACAGGAAACCAGGGCAACACGCACCGAGCTCCTGGGGGAGCCTGTGATGTGCGGGATGGCAGTGCTGTCCCCCTCCCCTCCGTGTGGAGGAGGCCAGTGGGGAGGGCCTGAGGGGCAAGCCACGGCGGGCGAGGGGCCTCCTTCTGGCCAGCAGCCGGGCGTCCCGTCGAAGGCCTTGCAGACGAAGCTGCCCCGTCAGGCGGCTCAGGGCCCGCCGGGCTCCCGCCTCCGCCTCTCCACCTGCTGGGCACTCGGGGCGAGCTCCTGCCCGCCGCGCCTATTCCCACCTCCCTAATGGGCACAAGAGTAAATGCCGGACTGGACTGACTGCTAGCGGGCAGGAGCGCCTTTTTAAGGTGTGCACTTGTTCTGGAAGTCGGTCGTGCTGATGGTTGCGCGGCCCTGGGAACATACCGAGATCCACTCAATCCTACATCTTGAAAGGATGAGTTTAAGGTACGTGAATCCTATCTCAATAAGAGAACACACACCCCACAGGGCGGTCCCACGGAGCCTCGGTGGCTGCAGAGGGGAAACCATGCCACGAGCGGTAATGCCCGGTTTGGCCGGGAGGCGCTCTCAGGACTGTTGCCCCCGAAGGGCAGGTGGCTGAGTGGGAGCGTGGGGGCCGCCAGCACCGGACACCCAGAGGGCTTGGCTTCCTGGGGAGCCGGAGTCTTGGGCTTTCACTCAAGTGAAGCAGGCCCTTCAGAGCCACACGCGGTGGGGGAGACCCAGAGCCCAGCTCCCCGCAGAGGCGGATGGGGTGGGGGGCGACGCCTTTGTCGGGAGCGTCCGCTTAAGCCCATCAGGCCCCTGCTGCGTCGCATGGTCTTAGCGTCACGGGCAGGTGGGAATTCGCCAGCTCAGCTCCCGTCGCCTTGGTGGCACCTCAGGGTCACTCAACACATCACTCCTCACCAGTGGGCACAGCCGGGGCCCCCAGATACGAGGTAAACAAGTGACCCGCGATGGGCCCTTCTGCTACCCGGTGCTGATTCAGACTCGTAGGAAAAAACCGAAGTGAAATCGGGCTCGTCCTCCCCAGGAGGCGGCGCCGAGCAGGCCCCTGACTAGCACCCGGGCCTCCCCGGCCCTGCAGCCGCCCCCGGCCGCTGCCTCCCATTGCACCTGCGAGCTGACTTCCTCCCAGGGCCGGCGTGTGCCGGGCCGGCCGGAGCCGCTTGCTGCTGCTTGCACCGAGGACACGCGGCACACGCCCGGGGAAGGCGCCCTCCCTCTGGTCTCAGTGGGCCAGCAGCGCCTCGAGCAGGCAGCCCTGGAAGCCTCCAGGTGTGAATTCTGCATCGCGGGCGACAGAGGGGACCTGCAGTCTGCTGGACACCCCGACACTGGGGCTGTCCTGCCTCTCAGCAAGGCCCTCCCGCAGCCGCCGAGCCCGAGGCAGACGTGGGCCACGCTGACTGCTAAGAGGCCAGTGCCCTAGGCTGCACTCACCGTACCCCTCCACACGAAGCAGGGGGGCTGATGCCTGCCAGAGGACAGGGCAAGACGGAAGCAGCTGCCCAGTGTGGGCGCGGGGAGAGGAGGACAAGAGGAGATCTGGTTCCCAGTTCTCAAAGACCCCAGAAAGCCCCAGAATGCTTGACGCCAGTGCCCCGAGGTCAGGAAGACACATGTGCCATCCACGGGGCTCTGGGCACACCCGCGCCCACTTCCAGGTCTGCAGCTGGGAAGGCTCCTGTGCGAGCGGCAGGCACCTCCGACGTCACCGGGCAAGGCACCCACCCTGAGAGGGGACCCGGCAGCTGCAGCTTCTTCCGGCCTGGGCAGTTCTCACCACGAGGGGTCAGCGTTGGACAGGACACCCAGGGGGGCCCCAGGGACCCGGCCTGCCACAGGGCGTCCCACGATCCCGAAGGAAGTGACTGCAGAGACACCTTTGAGTCGCCACGGCACCATGACGCACAGGCACCATGCTGAGCTTCCCCTGCACTAGTTCATTGAACCCCCCAGGAAGGCCCAATGGGGTAGATGCGATGATCCCTATTTAGACTCCAGGACAGGCCCCGGGAGGTCAAGGCCTGAGGTCACACAGCTGGAGAGCGATGGGGGCTGGATTCAAATCCAGAACCCGTGGCCACCACCACACACTTAGCAGGCACCGGTGTTCTGCAGGAGAACGTCGTGCTCTGAGAGCTACATGGGACCCGCTCACCCTGCCTCTGTCCGCCCCCAGGAGCACCCTGCACGCTCTCCTCCCAGCCACGGTCACGCTGAGCCCTGGTGGTTTCAAAGGCACCTCCCCACATTCTGGCACCAAATAATGGGCGCTGAAGCCCAGAGGTCAGGGCAGCACCCAGGGTCACGCAGGAGTCAGCAGAGCAGGCTCCAGGGCTCTGGACCCCTTCCACTAGCCCCGAACTCGCACCCGGGCTCTTCTGTCCCCACCTGCAGGCGGGGCACGTCCATGGGAAACACAGCGTTTGGAAGTTTGTTTTGGATTCGAAAAAAAATAATAAATAACATTTTTTCCTTGACGACCCAAGTAAAACATTTCACTAGAGATTTCTTACAATCCTACCACCCAGAAATCACCACTCTTAATTTTTTGGTGCGTTTTCTCCCAAACGTTTTCCTAAACAAGTACGCGTATTTTAAACAAAAAAAGGGCTTTGTTTGTGGACAGCGGCCTGGGAGTCTGGGAGGGCAGATGGGCTTCCAGCTCACTCACCTGGTGCTCAGGTGGAGGAGAGGCTGTGGCCCCGGCTCAGAGGGCTCAGGGGGCTCAGGGAGCTCAGGGGGCTCAGGGGGCTCAGGGGGCTCATGGGCCCACGCGGAAGGAAGCTGACCGAGCATCACAGTCCTCGCGCCCAGCTGCAGCCCCTCCTCGCCCGCCCTGCCTGACTCCAGCGCGGGCCCCCAGGAGCCCGTGCACACACCCTGTCCCCAGCGGGCCACACGGCTTCCAGCAGGGGCCGGGCACCCCCGTGAAGGTGGGGCAGGTGCTCACCATGGCCAGCTCAGCCTCCAGCTCCTTCATCCGGTTGTCCTTGAGGTCCAGCTGGGAGCGCAGCGCCGTGGCGTGGTCCGTGGCCTCCTTGGCTTGGCGCCGCAGCTCCCACTTCTCACGCTCCAGCAGGTCCTTCTCCTTGGCCAGGGCTTTGACGGCATCCTCGCTCTCCTGCGGGGACAGAGCGCCAGGCCGTTAGAGCGGGGACGGGGGGCCTCGACCCCTGGACAGAGGGAGGGGCTCTGCTACAGGTTAGCCGGGGGACGGGACAGAGACCAACCACTAGCAGATGCTCAGTAAACACGGTTTCCACGAACAGAGGAGCAAACGAACATGAGGAGCAAGTTGTTTTTACCCCATCAAGTCTGGGGAGGGGGTGATCCTAATGGTTTCAGAGAAAGGTTATAAAGATGAAATGATTTCACGTGTGGGAAATACGTGGCGTCTGAGGGAAGTTAGGGGGCTTTGTCCAGGTGCTTGGCAACGTGTGTGTCACCGTAAAGGGGAGACAGAGAAGGAGACCCCCGTCCCCTAGCCCCGGGATCCTGCAGCACCGCGCAGGGGCGCAGCCGAGGACGAGGCAGGCCGAACCCGGCAGCGCGGCGTGTCTGAAGGCGGCACGGTCCCCTGCCCGTCCCTCGCCACGAGCCGGGATGCACAGGGAAGGGCCCGGGGCCCCAGCTGCGTCGTGCCGGAGCAAAGCCAAGGAACGACGGCTGTGTTGGGGGCCTGACCTCCGGGGGCAAGAGCCAAGCGTCAGATCAGCAGGCACCTGTCCCGAGAAGAAGGGTCCAGCACAGGGCCCTGCCCCAAGCAAGGTCATCCCATTCCTCGGGGACCGGGTGACGTCCTCAAGGTCCCCGTGTGCCCGGGGGCTGTGGGCAGGGGCGGCCGTCCTGCCTTGTTCAACGGCCCTGTCGCCGAGGGCCTGACAGCCGGATGGCCAGAGCCGGGGAGGCCGAGGGCTGGCCTTTCCCTGGGGCCGTCCCATCCCAGAGCCAAGGCTGGGGCCTGTGGTCTGGGACAGGGAGTGGGGCTCAAACCCTGGCTTTGCAGGGACAGGCTGCAGCGACTACGGGGCCTCGGCGCCCTTGCCTGCAACACGGGCGTTATCTTGACACCTGAACGGGATCGTCCATGCGGAGAGCTGGGTGTGGCCCAGCAGTCCCTGCTGACGTCCTCTCCTGGCGGCCTGCACCCCCCACCCCCCCAGAGCAGCCTGGGGGACCCTGGTCATTCAACCGCGTTCAGAGACGCCGTCGGCAGGCACGGGCCACGCAGACGTCTCGGAGAAGAGCCCCGCGGCGCCGTGGGCAGGGATGCGCCCCTCCAGTCGGCGGCTCACCCGGGTCCCAGCAGGGCAGCCCCATTGCTCAGGGCAGCCTGGGGGGCACGGGGGACCGTCCCTTCCAGGACGCGCTGCTGGCACCGCTCTGGGCTCAGGCTGCCTGGGTGACATGCACCCGCTCTAACCCAGTCCACGGCCACCTGCGGGGCATGGGCTGAGTCACTCAACTTCCCCACACCTGATCGGCCGCCCCACTCCTGAGAGCGACAGCACCGCCCCCCGGGGGGACGGAGGCTCAGTGGGCCCGGCCATGCAAGCTCCAGAGCGAGGGACAGCGCTATCGCCCAGTCCCAGGGGGAGCTGCCCCCTGAGGTTCTGGAGGCAAGGCTCTCGGCGCAGGGAGGGAGGCCACCGCGGGTTAGTTCTCCTTCCCGTGTGGAGGGGGGTCAGGTGGGGGCCGCGCACCAGGGGCAGGGGCCTCTGCACCCACGCGGATGCAGAGCTCCTTCCCCGGGGACCGAGCCACGTCCTGGGCATCTGCCCCCAGCACCAGCCACGGGCCTGGATCATACAAGGGCCTGGGAAAGGGGGTGCGGGACTGAGTAACTGTGTAAGGACCGTCCCTTAGAACTGGCTGCTGTACCAGGGGCTGCTTCCGAAACCTTGTTGCACTCGGAGGAAGGTCCCCTGGGGCCCTCAGGATCATCTTTGTCTCTGTGTCTATCTGCAGTCGCTGACCGCGCTAGTCACGTGCAGACGGGGGAAGGCCCGTGGGTGAAGGCTCTGGGCTCCCTCCCTGATCACGTTCCCCGGCAGCAGGAGAACGACACGGAATGTTCCCGACACAGGCCGTGTACGGTGCCTCAGCGTTTCAGGCAACTATCTGTGAACCTCACAACCCCGTGAGTGTGACAGAGGTCTCGGTCCTTGCAGGCAACTGAGGCAGGAAAGCCACAGACAGGAGACTGGCCAGGGAGGTTGGAGCCAGATGGGGGTCAGGGTGGCCGGGACTTAGGAAGGGAGGGTGCGTCCCGCTGTGCCGGGCCTCAGATGCTGGCACGTGGGGCTCAGTGGACAGAAAGAGGAGGGGGCGGCAGGGGACATGGGCCTGGCTGGAGGACAGCAGCCTCGCCACCCGATGGCCCCGTGTCCGGCCCTTGGTCCCCCACCCGGCTGCCTGTTTTGCTGTGAGAACATCCTCAGCTGGATTCGTGGAGACTCCCAAAGCCCCCTCCGACCTGCACCCATGTGCCAGGGAACGTGCCTTAGGTGCAACTTTCTGTGAGCTTCCTGGGGGGCCCCCGACCCCCATCTCTCAGCAGCCTGTGTCTGTGCTGACCCCAGGAGCTCAGAGAACTGGGGTCCTCCTACCTGCTCCAGGCAGGCCTGCAGGGGTTGCCTGGACGAGCGGGGTGGGCCGTGGCAGGACCAAGCACGTGGGACACCTGAGGGTTCCCTTAATCCTGTGCATGGGGACACTCATCCTGTGCATACAACGGAAGTCTTTTTTTTTTTTTTTTTTGTCCAGTTGCAAGGTCTCGGAAGAGACAGGCTGAAGCCAGGGCTTGCGGTTTTCACGTCTCTGGCTCTCAATATGTGGCTGTGGGTCAGTCTCTGGCCCCTTCACGGCCCCAGGCCTCCCATCTGTAAAATGGGGTTGGACCTGGCAGTGATTAAAGACCGTCCCAGTGTTGCTATTTCACTGATGTGCTAGAAGCACAAGAGCAATGTGCCCCACATGACATTTAAGACAGTAACTTAAAAAAATTGTTTCCCAAATTCCATTTTTTTTTTTCTGAATGGATCTGGAGGGTCTTCTGGAGGCACTGCGTACGAGGGACAGCTGCCAGGGAGCTGTGGCCATCTACGGCTGTCCCGGTGGCTGCTGAAGCTACCACCCTGCCCCCTGTTGCTGGCTGGACGTGGAAGGGGGAGCGGGTCGTTACCTGGGACTTAAAAAAAAAAATGGCACGGTCCTGGGGGAAGGTAGATCTCTGTGGAAATTTTTTCAAGTACGAGCACACTGAGAAAAACAAATTTGATGACCCGCTGCAAGACAGAAGCGCTTGCTCGTAAGCCCCGGGATGGCCGCTGGAGTGCTCACACACCGCCTGTGCTCGGTGGTGGGGCAGCCAGCAGTGGACATAACCCATCTGTTTGACTAAACTCCTACTCAGCCCCCAGAGCCCAATCCTAGGTCACCTCCTCTGTGAAGCCCCCAAGGCTCCTCCCCTGCAGGCAGACTTTCCTGCTGTCTCCGCACACTGTCGTTACGGGAGCAGTAACGCGGGCTAGGATTTACGGAGCCCTGGCTCAACACCAGACGCCACGCTGAGTGCTTTGCTTTCATCACCTCGGCCAGTGTTCCGCACGCCCCTGCACGGTCTGAGGCTCTCCGGGGTTAGGCAAGACACCCTGGGACACCCCTAGGGGCGGAATCTGAACCCGGGCCTGCCAGAAGCCAGAGTCCACACTGTCTGGGCTGTGCTGGCCCATCCAGGCTTGTCTGCCCAGCAGGCTGGGGGCCCCCAGCTGGGGCTGTGCCCATTTCAGCTCCATACCCAGGCCCGGGCCACATACGTCGGGAGCCTCCTCAGGCGAGCATCAGGTGACACAGGAGTGAGTGTGTGTTCAGGGGCTGGAGAAGCCAGACCTTGGGATGGCAGAGAAGGTGTCCTGTACGCAGGGGGGGTGGTGGGGTGGGGGGTGGGGTGGGGGGTGTCTGCGGGGGCGGGGTGGTGGGCAGAGAGGGAGGAGCAAGGGAGGGGAGGAGAGGGAGCTGGTATCTGAGGCGGGGAAGGGAAGAAGATGGGGTCTGGGGGGAGGGAGGAACGGGGGGGGGGGAGGGAATTGGGGAGTCCAGGACAGGGAGGGAAAAGTGGGTAGGGGAGGAAGAGGGAGGGAGGATGGGGAGGGAGGGGAGGTGGAGGGGAAGAAGGGGGAGGGGAGGAAGGGGGAGGGAAGGAAGGGGGAGAGGAGGGGAGGAGAGAAGGGGGAAGGAAGGGGGGAGGAAGGGGGAGGGGAGGGGGGAGGCGGGGAGGCAGGCCCCACCTTGCGGTGCTGCTCGTAGTTGCGGATGAAGTCGCGCAGCTGCTCCTCGCGGCTCTCCAGCGTGGCGTACAGCTGCTGCATCTGGCTCACCAGGTCCGTCTTCTCGCCCTTCAGGCGCTTCCGGTCGGCCTTCATGGCTGTGGGGCACAAGAGCGAGTGAGCGCCTGAGACCCTGCTGCCCCGCGGTCCCGGATGCCGAGGAGGGACGCCGCCTCCACCGCCTCTACCGTCTTAAGAGACCGAAAATGGGGTTCAGGAAGATGGCGTTTCTGCGCCGCATGCCATGTCCCTTAGTGGCCTTCCCAGGACTCGAACCCGGGCCACCTGTCTCTAGACTCTGTTTCCACCTCTCGGGTTTACTGATCCAGTCAGGGCAGCAAGTCCCAGACGGAGCATCCCTCCCAGCCCCGGACTGAAGGGGTCTCTGCAGGGAGAGGGAGCTGGGGGCCTGGTGAGGCCCGCGTCCCGGCCCTGCAGGCTGTGGGCGCCTGACTCCCTGCTGAAGGAGCCCCCGCGGTCCACTCTGAGCCCCAGGACCCCTCAGCCCAGCACGACAGCCCAGTGTCTGGTTCGTTTCCTCCACGGGAGAAGCACTCGACTAAAAACACACAGCGACATACGACACTGAAAGTATGCACAGCGGAACAGGTACGACGTCAAAACGTAGACCTGCCTCCAAGGCCACCGCCAAGGACGTAAAAAGGGGATGGGAGAAGACACGTGCACTCCGTCTCTCTGATACGGGGCTTATGGGGCTTACGTGTAGAATACATAAAGAACTCTTACAACCCAATAATGAAAAAGACCACCCGAGTAAAGAATAGGCAAACGGTCTGAACAGACTTTCCTCCCAGAGATGGTCAATGAGCGCCCAAAAAAGAGCTCGGCATCGTTTGCCAACGGGGAAATGCAAATCGAAACCCGAAGAGATATCGCTTCACACTCAGGAGAATGGCCAAAGTAAACAAGATAGACTCAAGTGTGGTCAAGGACGTGGGGAAACTGGGACAGCTGCTGGGGCCGGATGGAAGGGTGCCGCCACCAGGCGGAAGCCGGCCTGGCAGTTCCACACGTGACTCAACGTCAAGGTGCCCTGTGACCCAGCAGTCCCCTCCTAGGCACACGCCGAAGGGAAATGAAAACATACGCCCACACAAACACACAAACACAAATGTACACAGCAGCATGGGTCCCAGAGGCAACGGGTGAAAAACCACCCCAACATCCGCCGACCGATGAATGGATTAAATGCAAAACCCCATGTGGTGCTTCCTTACAATGGAACATCATCTGACAACGAAAAGAAGTACCGCTGTACGCCGCACCGTGGGGGAACCCGGCATCATTATGCTAAGTGAAAGGAGCCGGTCACACGGTGTGTGATTCCTCGTACTTTAGCAACAGTGCACGGCGGGGACGGCCATGGAGAGAGTACGCCAGTGGTGGCGAGGGCTGGGGGCTGGTGCTGGCGGGGATGTGCGGAGGCGGGGTGGTAGCTCAGCGCATGGGGTTTCTTTCGGAGGTGACGCCAATGTCCTGGCGTTGATGGTGCCGATGGAGGTACAGTCCGTGAATATACTAAAAACCACTGAACTGCACACTGTGAATTGCATGATATGTGAATTATGGCTTAATGAGGCTCACTGTCTCTCTCGCGTGCATGCGCACACACACACACACACACACACACACACGGGGCTGCGAGCCCTAAGCAGCCGCCGGTCGGCCAGGCAGGGTGGCTTCCGCTCCCTGCAGACTCTGTCTCCTTGTGCCCTGTACACACTGGCTCTTCGGCAAAGGAGGTTGCTGTGCTCGGGGCAGGCTCTGGCTGCAGGGTGGGCTTCACTGCCTTTTCCCAGGGGCCCCAGAACTCTGTTCCCTCCCTGGAGAGGACACTGAGGAGGGAATTGTGGAGACAGTAGGGAGGAGGGCAAAGCAACTCCTTGGTTCCAGAAGCTTCCAGCGTGAGAAAGCATAGAGCAGTTAAGTCATTTTCCCGAAGTCACGCAGCTATGTCTGACCCCCAAGCCCACACCACGGACCCTACATTATGCTGCCCTTACAGGGAATGTCCCACATCTGGAGGGTCCTGGCCCCACGGCGAGCTGAGGGCAGCGACAAGGGGCGGGCAACGGCTGTGCCGCCCCACCTCGTCCTGGACAGTCAGCCCTGCAAACTCAGCCTGCCAGCATGAGAGGCTGAGCCGCCGGGGGTGGCCTGAGGACCAGGGACCCTGGGCTCCTGGCCTGGTGCTTGGCAGAAGCTGATGTCCCTCTGGCCCGAGGGGGCCTCCTTCATCCTCCAGCCCGTTGCCTCCCTCCCCGCAATCGGGGTAGAGCAGGGTGGAGGCAGGGCAGCTGGGGTCACGGGGAGCCCCACGCAGCGGGGCAGCCCTTCAAGTTCCAGCTTTCGGCCTCCCTCCCGCAGCTGGGCCATGCCCCTCAGGCAGCCGGGCAGGCGCAGCAGCTTGGATGGGCAGCGCGGGGACTCCAGACTTGCAGGGCTGGGCACGTACGGGACGGGGACAGCGCGGGGACGGAGAGCTCATCTGTTGTTCCTCCTGTTGGGCAGGGGCAGGGGTGGGAGGGGCGCAGGGCTGGCCTAGTGCTGTGCCCCGTACCCCAACACGGCGTCACCTTGTTCCCGGTGAACTTCAGGAAACCCAACGTCTGGAGACCTAAGTGGCTCGGAAGGAACCTTACAGAAGAGCCCAGGCCCAGCCGAAGCCTTGGACATTTCCATCTGCATTGTGTCACTAGATCCTAGGTCCGGGCAGCGCTCCTGGGACAGGGGTGTGGGGTGGGGGGGCATCTGTCACCCCACTTTACAGGGAAGGACACTGAGGCCACACAGGCAGTAAATGGCAGGGCTGGGTTGGTCCAGGCGCCGAGCTGGTGGGCTTCAGACTGTGGAGGGGAGCAGTTCCTGGGGCGGGGGGTGCTGACCTGAGCAGTCTCCGCTGTGGCTCGCAGGGGAGCCTCGGGGTGGGACCCTCCACCCCAGGGAGCAGCTGCTGCCGAGCAGGTGTCATGACTGCTGGGGAGCGCGCCTCCGCCCTCTGGTTGGACGTGAGTCCCCTCTGGGCTCTGATTTGCCTCCTTCCTCAGCCTTTCTGCACAAACACCAAATTCCAGGCTTTGCTCTTGGCTACCGGAGGCTCTGGGTGGGGGGGTGCCACCCCGTGTCCTCCGCAGCACTGCTGGGCCCTCCTTCGTGGTGGCCGAATGGCCTTGGGGAGGGGCGACGACGAGGCAGTGTCCTGGTGGCCCCCACGGGGCCCTCGCACCTCTGGGCGTCTCCAGGGGCTGCCGCACGGGCCACTGTCCTGTCCTTCGGTGGAGCAGGTGCGTGTGCATCTGTGCGCCGGGGCCTCGGCGGTGGGGATGGGCCACTCCCCCCAAACGGCTGGTTACGCCCCTTCTGTGTGCCAGGCTCCAGGCCCGCTGCGGTTGGGGGACAAGGATGGACAAGACACGGTCCTGACCTCGTGGGCTGCTACACAAGGCACAGCCCTACCAGGCGGGGACGCTCCACTCCACCCGTCCTCCTCACCACGAGAACCCCACGTGCTCAGTATCCCAGGCTCCCTTGCAGCTAGAAGGGGCCCGTGTCCAGTTTTGGCCACTAGGATGTCCAGGGGGTCTCCTGGGAAAGCCCTCACTTTCTTTTCCTTTTCTTTCTGAGACAGAGGGAGAGGGGGAGAGAGGGAGAGCGCGTGAGCAGAGGTGGGGTGGGGTGGGGGGGGCGGAGAGAGACGGAGAATCCTAACATCCCAAGCAGGCCCCACACACGACCCAGGGCTTGACCTCATGACCCTGAGCTCACGACCTGAGTGGAAGCAAGAGCCGGATCTTAACCGACGGAGCCCCCCGGTAGCCCTTCTCCGGTTCCCTATAAAAGTCCTGGCACGGCGGCAGCAGCTCCTCCCTTCTGCCCTTCCGTTTCCTTCATGCTACGAACACATACGCGAGATCCCGAGGCACAGCAGCCGTTTTGTGGACACAAGAATGAAGACACAGAGCGGAGAGACAGACTGAACGGGCTGGACCCCCCGATGGCACCATCTGGGCCAGGATTCCTTATAATGGGAGAAAAATAAGCCCCGCTGTCGGCGGGATTTCCCGCTTCGGGCACCCACCACGCTCCTGCGGGCAGCGCTCCGGCCCCCACCACGCGCGGCTGTGCCCCGCGGTTCCCGCACACGACCTCCCGCCGTGGGAACCCCTGCCCTGCGAATTCTGGACCCCGCCAGGCTGAGGACCGGGAAACGCGAAAGCGGCATCTCTGGGAATGAACGCCCAGCGAAGATCCCTCCGAAGGGGAGACGAGGCCCGTCGGGAAGCACAGTGTGAACCGAGCAGCTGCTGTGCGATGCGCCACGGCCCTTCAGAGTCACGCGCGTCTATGACCCACTCTGGGAACCTCCACGGAGATGCGGGGCCTGGGAGCAGGCCTCAGGCCCCCCCCCCCCCCCCCCCGCACCGGCCAATGTGGGGAAGTGCATGTGCGTCCCGACCGAGCCCGACTGCCCCCAGGACCAGGGGCTGGGCCGCGCCGTCAGACGGGGCTCCCTCGGGGGCGGCCCTGGCATCCCATGTAGCTCTTGAAGGAAACCAGGAGGCCCGCTCGATGGGTCCCCAAGAAATAGCTTCACCTAGTGATTCGCAGGGGCGCTTCCTTCCTCCCTCTGCCACGGGCCGCGTCTGCTCTCCTGCAAACCCGATCCCAGATCTCACGTTCTCTCTCCGAGCGTCACTAATGCGAGGCGGGGTCTGCGGGGCACGAACCTCCCTCTCTCAGCCGCCTCCCCACTCAGCCGAAGCCCCCCAGCTCCACTTCACCCTCCCAGTCAACCGGCTTCACCCAGGCGTGTCCCGTCCCAGCAGCCAGGCCGCGGGAACCAGTGCCGCGGTGACGGGTGAGGTCACGCCCAGCGGGCCCCGTGGCATCACGGAGGGGGACCAGCTCAGCTCCTGGGAATGTGGGGGCTCCGAGGGTGGGAGGGAGGGCGTGCGGGGAGGGACTTCTTTCTCTAACTCACGGGAGGCCTCGTGCACGCATGAGACGGGGAGGGACCCGCCCGCCGCGGCCCCGCGGAGACGGAGCTTGTCTGGGGATGCCACTCTCCTCAGGCTTC